AGGGCCCTTTGTTCCACTCGATACCCAAGGGAACAATAATAATAATGATAATTGAGGCTTAATCAACCTCTGAATGTACCACGCACTTAGTTTCGTTTTTTTAATTCCATGCTACCAAGCCAAACATAGTTAATCTTCATAATAACGTTATCATTTAAAAATAGTAAATGACATCTTATCAGCAGTTGTGATTCACACAGAAAACGGTCTTCAAACTGTATCAGTAGGAATGATGAATGAAGACAAAATGTGATCTGAATTCAACACCCTCACATGAACTAATGTTGGCAGTACAAATGTGATTTTCCTTACGCAGACACGTTTTAATTTAATAATTATTACACATATGCGATTATCAAATTCAATAATCTGCACATGGTTTCTTATCGTTATTGATTGATTCCTTTACTGGACAACGTAAAATTAACTCATGCAGATAAAACGTGATCAAGTTACCATATTATTATTGTATCCTTTAATTGCTAGAAGAACATAGGGCTTCAGCTGCGCACCTCCATTACGTGTTCGGTTTTCTGCCAACTTTTTCACTCCGCTCCAAGTCTGTTCACATGCTTTCATCTCCTCTTCACATGACCTCCTCCAAGTCACCCTCCAACTGACGACCAACTCGCCGCTTCCCTTTCGGCGGGTTACACTCGAGAGATGGTTTGTCTAGTGATGTCACTTGATGGTTTTCTCAGCGTATGGCCAATTCATCTCCATTTCTTCCTGCCCATTTGTTTCACAATCGGTTCCTGATTGGTTCGCTCATTTCTAGAGATCCCTGTCGCTGATCTTTTCTTGCTGGCCATCTGATCTTGAGTAACATTGAGTGAAGACAAGTGTTAATGAAGTTCTGAAGTTTGTTTGAGATGCTCTTTATGACAACGTAGAATTAACTCATACAGATGAAACGTGATCGAGTTACTATATACATATAATTTTTTTCAAGGGTTGATTTGTAAGGGTTAGATTTGTTTTTCCAGTTTGACGATGAATAAATATCAGTTAGAGAACTATTGGACAACCAACTGGGAGTACTGGACAACCTTCTGTTTCTTCAGTCTAGTTTGGGAGTGTTCAGCTGTATTCATCCACAGCCAAATTTCAAATCTAGGACCTTCCAGTTACATGGCCACCGAGCTCGGAGACCATTAAACCACTGGGGTTCGATTCATTGACCAGTCGATGAATTTTAACTTCTGCAAATTGTGAATTTAGCGCGACAACCAACAGTTGTCATCGGAGGGAACTCTATCCTCACACTTAAATAGATAGACCTCAGTGGTCACGACTTCCCAATAGAACTCCAAGAAACTCCATCCTGTAGCAAGTCACTAGTGAGAATCAGTTTATTTTTCTATACTTGGTTTGTAAGGATTTTAACGTGTTGATCACGGATTGAAATCAGCTGGAAAACCATTGACAACCATGAAGTACTGGACAGCCAACTAATTCATCGTAGTTTGGGAATCATCAGAAGTCCATCCAGTCAAGTGTGAGGGTGCACTGCCCACCGATGACATTGGTTGATGTAAGTCGCGCTAAATTACGAGCCGGTAGAAGTTAGAATACATCGACTGGTCACTGAATTTGGTCCCTGTGTCTGAAAGGTATACGAGCTTGCCTGGTAATCGGAAGGTCCTGTGTTTGAACTCTGGTGGTGGATCGGTGAGTACTGTCAATGACTGCCTAAAACTAGGATGAAACAGTTGGCTGTATAGTACTCCCTGTGGCTGGTTAACGATAGTTCTCTAACTTATTTCAATCCGTGATCAACTGGAAAAAATTTCTCAATATATAATTTACTAAGATGGTGGGAAGAAATAAGGTTTGGGCAATTTGATAGGCACTCGACGCAATAATTCTGCGAACTCAAGGAATAATGAAGAAGTAAAAGAAGAACATGTGGAAGAATACGATGCTAAATGTGAACAAGGAATTCTCAAAAAAAAAATTTATTCTCAATTCGAATGATGTGGAAAATCCAGAAACCATATCTTACTTATCTAATTCTCTTTATAGACAATTGAACGCCTCGGTGGCACAATGATAGTCTGGTCGCCAGCCACGCTATAAATGGTCTGGGGTTCGATCCCCGGCCATCCCCACACTCTACTTTACCATATCAAGGCCATAAATAAGACTTGTAAAGAAGGAGGGTTAAGCATGTAATAAACACCACTGCTACAGAAACTTCAAATCTCTAGCTTGAAGCTCCCCATATTCCACTGGGAATGCAAATGAAATAAAAACGTGAATTATGTTATAAAAACGAAAATAAAAAAGAACACGAAACAAAAATAAGGCTAAATTTTCAGCGTTATTTTTAATTTTTTTGTTATAATAATAATGGTCAAAGTATGAATATTATTGACGTACAAAGTACAAATATGTGTACATGACATAAAAACGTGAAGAAAAAGTAGTCCCCCCTCCTTAAGAAAACAAACAGAAAAACCCGAAATGACATAAAAAAGAGAAATAATGACCGACATCAAGCAAGCAAGTAAGCAGGCAGGCAGCCAGGCTGGGAGGTTGGTGGTCAGCTTTCAAGAACAAAACACTTTTGGGGACAACGTCTTATACTGACATTCCTTTTGTGTGTGTTTTTTTATTACGTTTTCATGACCTATTCCTCATCTTGTTTTGGTTTTTTTATTTCGAAAATATTTAGCGCTCTTTTTTGTTGTTGCTTTTGGTGGTTGGTATGTCCTTTTTCCTGGAAAGATAATTATCCCATTTTTTTATTCCAATTGTAAGAATTAAAATACTCCTATTTATGTTTTATTGGGGCGTTTAGAAAATATTTTATCCATGTGATAAGTAGAAGTTGAAATAATTGGAGAAGGTTTTGTTGTTGCTCAGGTGGATGATTTATTTTTATTTGGTTTGTTTTGTTATGTAAAGCCTTCATTATGCTTTATTAAGAATCCTACGTAGGGAGGATTTTCAACTCCAATGCGAAGTCAGTGCCACTTACTATACGGATCAGAGACTTGGCGAGTCATAAAGAGCATCTCAAACAAACTTCAAACCTTCATTAACAGTTATCTTCACTCAATGCTACTCAAGATCAGATGGCCGGCTAGAAAAGCACAGCAACAGGGATCTCTAGAAATGAGCGAACCAACCAGGAACCAATTGTGCAATAAATAGGCAGGAAGAAATGGAGATGGATTGGCCATACGCTGAGAAAACCATCAAGTGACATCACTAGACAAGCCATTGCTCGAGTGTAACCCGCCGAAAGGGAAGCGGCGAGTTGGTCGTCAGTTGGAGGGTGACTTGGAGGAGGTCATGGGAGGAGGAGATGAAAGCATGTGAGCAGACTTGGAGCGGAGTGAAAAAGTTGGCAGGAAACCGAACGCGTAACGGAGACGCGCAGCTGAAGCCCTATGTTCTTCTAGCAATTAAAGGATACAATAATAATAATACGTAGGGAGGGTTTCAGATGTCCCCTCCTTATATGGTATAACAGTGGATGACTTATATTCTTTCTTATTTATGTTATCATTTCTAGTTTCACGATAATTTTTATTTTGTTTTTGGCCTTTAGTGATCTTCCTAATGAATTTTATAGGATAGTTATTCAGGAATCAGGATGGCATTCAAATCTTCAAACTCACTCAGGGACAAGCTCTGTATGTTAAAGGACCCTGTCTGTGAGGTCAACTACATAAGTCAAACTACTAGGTCGGGGATAGTCAGATTATCAGATTATAAGAATTTAGCTGAGGTGAGAATGATTAACTCCGAGAAGATAAGTAATTTAGAAAAAAAGCTTAGCAATCGCACTTCACGCAATAACAAACAACCACACAATATGGTGGAATAGAGTTCAAATTCTAAGAAGTAATCTATGTAGGTGGAGGGTCGGAGAGAGAAGTGGTTGATTACTGAATCCTTGTTTATCCAATCTACATCCAACACAAGCATCAGAAATGACTCAATGCAAATACCAGAGATATGTATGGAAGATATCATTATTATTGCCAGTCATTCAAATCAGAGAAGGATAATGAATAATCTTAAAATTCTTTTTCAATTCGAACACATCACAACATTGTGAGAAGTTACTTATTTTGACTATAAGAAACACTCGTCTTATTTCCCATCTGATTGTAATTGATCAACAATAGCGCTATTACCAGGCATCTCCTTGATTGATACGGGTCATGAGGTGGCAATTGCGAACCTTTTAAGTTTATCAATAGGCAAAGTATCTCGATTCCCTTCGGGGTTATCGAAGCAATTTCTATGAAACGCTTGAAACCAGATAGATATATGTGTGTTCAGAAAGAAGCAGTTATTAGCCTTTCCGTGCCCTGATAACTGGATATCCTTATTCTCTCTTTCATTTGATTGCATAATCTTTGTTTTTAACCGCCCCCTTCTTATAATTTGTAATTTTGCTTGTCTTGTTTCTATGATTTGAGTTGAACTCAATACATTGTTACCTAATTTATTAGTCATTCACCATCTTGTACATCTCCCATATTTATTACGTAACTCCTTTGCCATTGTATGCATGCACAAATTTGCTTTGTTTAAACTTGAACTGCCTGTGTGATAACTATATAAGGGTAATTTTCTGGCAGTGTTCACTAATTGTGGAACCTTCTGTCAACTGACATCATATCACCACATTTGCAAGTATGTTAACACTTTTCCAGTGCATAAATCTCATAATTTATTTAGGCCGTAAGCGGCAGATGACAAGAAGCGAATGAAATCAACAATGATGGCACCATCTTCGTATTCTTCACAAACCGCCACCGAGTTATGCTTTCTTTATTCAATCAAATTCATCAAGGGGAATAAATGCATGAAAATGACAGTCCATAGAAAATCTTGGAGCCAGCTGAAGAGAACTGCACAGAACAGAAGAAAGTGGAGAGGTGTGCATTTGAATGAAGCCCTAAATATATAATCACATGCATTAGAACAGTGTACAGTAATACTAAGAGATTTTTCATAAAAGAAAACTGGTAACTTACAGATTTGTAAAATCATGATTTACAGGATCATTGCGTTGACTGATCGCTTGTGTTGTACTATTTCGTCTACTTTGTAGCATCATTGAGACACGCCTAATCCTCTGTGTAAGTTCAGCATCAGTACTAAGACTTTTATTTGTCAAAGGTAAATTTGGTACATATAAGGAGATGACATTCGTTGAATCTGAGGGTGGCTTGTGAGCTACAGGACTCATGAGGTGATTTTGTCCATAACTGTTTCTACTATTGTTAGCATTATTGCTATCCAAGTTGATTGGATGACACTTGAAGAGGTCAACTTCTTTCTGGAAAATAGAATAAACGCAATAACATATAATTTAAAAGGGTAATGGTTTATACTCGAACTGCTGAAGCAAACGTCCTACTGACGGTTAGTGATTTAATATAAGCACGATCTATCTATTTCGCATTTGTTATAACCTGGTCTCCTGAACCGACGTGAAGAACCTAGCAGACCTGGATTTCGAACGTGTGGATGATTTATGTTTGATGTCAATGTCACAAAATCGAAGACTTACAAGCGAAAACCGACCGACAAACTGGTCGAAGAAGCAGCTGGCGAAGACAGGACTCCAGGTGAACATGAACAAGACGGAGGTGATGGTAATAACCAACCAACTGACAACAACAACAGCAACATCCGACGCCAATCGCCATCAACCACAATCAATTATCACCATCACCACTCACTTATCCAAGAAGCATTGTCTCAACTACAGGAGGAGGAACGGACGAGGATGTCAAATCGAGAATCGGGAAGCAATCTGGAAATCTTCGTCACTCAACTCAGTATCAACAACGAAATTCGATCGGATTTTCAACACAAACGTCAAGTCAGTCAGTTCTTCTATACGGATCAGAAACGTGGAGGGCGGGTCAAAAAGAATACTTCCAACAGCTAGTGGAAGACCTTTATCAACAACTGTCTTCGCCATATACTGGAGATTAGGTAGCCAGACCGGAAAGAATCACCAACAACAAGGCACTATGGGAAGGAACACACAAAACAAGAACCAGTCGCCAACCAACAAATATGCAGGAGAAAGTGCACGGAGATGGATTTGACACTCACTCGCTGAGGAGGCCGGTTGGTGACATCGCGCGCGTGAGGCCATTGCTCGTGTGGAACCAGGCGGAAAGGGGAGCGGCGAGTTGGACGTCAGTGCGAGGGTGACGTGGAGGAGATCGTGTGAAGAGGAGGAGTTGAAACAGTATGGATGCAGTATGGATTCAGGTGAAAAGTACAGCAGAAGAGAGAAGCAAGTGGATATGTGCAGTTGAAGCCCTATGTTCCACTAGGAACTCAACAGAACAACAAAAATAATATTAATCGCGATGATGATGATGATGATAATGATGGCTATGAGGATGGTGATTTGAACGAATTACTAAAACAATCCTTCATCACAATAGATGACAGCTCTCAAGACAGGAAAAAGAAGCATTAGACCAAAATATGTTTTCCATTCTTTTCTCTCTCTCTCTGTGACTTTTTCCCTGTGTCTCTGTTGATATGAGTCACTTTGAGATTAGAAGCTTTCAACTCCTGCATAATAAACAAAAACAAAAAGATAGTTGAGTACTTTTAAAATGTTCGTTGAAAGAGAATTAATTGGTTTCAAATTTAATCGCCAAATTGAAATCAAGCAATACTGAAAGACTATCTTGTACATTTTTAGACTCTTCAATAGTACACACCCATGATCTCATGAGGGATTAGATCTTGAACCTTTAGGTTGCAAGGCGAATTCCTCTTAGAATAATTGCTTAAGGATAACACTAGCTATTGATCAGACTATATATATCACGAGTGGAGACCAGCCAGAATTCATAAATTGTTGGATTTCGTCTCACTGATGGAGTGGTGAATGTGCTCACCTTTTAACTTGATGGACTTAGGTTGAATTCCTGACTGAGGAGTCTCGGATATGAAACAAAACGGCTCTTCTCTGGTTTTTACTGTTTCCTCAAGTAAAGTAAACTGGTGCGAACTCCAGCAGTATTATGGTATGTGTGCTAATTATCACGAAACCTAGGTATCCAAGGCTTCCTGTGGCCGATTGCCTTCAACCTTCTAATATCACCGATTCACTGTACACCATGGTGTTGTGCCACGTTGTGGCAAGGCGACGACCACATTGCAAACTTGGCCGACTGATAGAATGCAGTCTACACCAAACAAAGGAATAGACAAATTACTCTAGTTACAGACTAATGTCTAATCAAGGTAGTGTTTGTTCAGCCATTTGAAAACAAGATCAGGGTATTATTGTATTATTATTATTGTTGCCTTGGGTTCCTAGTGGAACATAGGGCTTCAACTGCACGTCTCCATTTTCTTCTGTCTTCTGCTATACTTTTCGCCTGCATCCATGTTAATCCATATTCTTTCAACTCCTCTTCATCACACGATCTCCTCCATGTCACCCTTGGACGTCCCACACGCCGCTTCCCTTTCGGGTTCCACTCGAGGGCTTGGCGCGCGATGTCACCGCGCGGTCTCCTCAGCGAGTGTCCAATCCATCTCCACTTTCTCCTGCATATTTGTTGGGCGATTGGTTCTTGCTTTGTTTGTTCCCATAATTCCTTGTTGGTGATTCTTTCCAGCCATCTGATCTTCAGTATTGAGCGAAGACAGTTGTGAATAAAGGTCTGCAGGCTTTTGGAAATATTCTTTGTGACCCATCCGCCAAGTTTCTGATCCGTATAGAAGAACTGACTTTACGATTGTATTGAAAATCCGAATTTTGTTGGTGATGCTGAGTGACGAAGGTTTCCAGATTGACTTCAGGGTGATGAATGTGTTTCTCGCCTTCCCGATTCTCGATTTGACATCCTCGTCCGCTCCTCCTGTAGTTGAGACAATGCTCCCTAGATAAGTGAATGAAGTAACATCTTTCAAATCCCTCCCGTTGATGGTGATTGACATTGGATGTTGTTGCTGTTGTTGGTTGGTTGTTTTCATAACCTCCGTCTTGTCTGTGTTTATCTGGAGTCATGTCTTTGCTGCTTCTTTGACCAGTTTGTCGGTTTTCGCTTGTAAGTCTTCGATTTTGTGACAGTGACATCAAACATAAATCATCCACGCTTGAAATCCAGGTCTTCTAGGTTCTTCACGTCTGTCTGTCCAGGACATTCCTGTCTTCTTGTTTCCCACTGCCTGACGCATAATCCAGTCAGTCCAACACAATTAGGAATATCATTGGTGATAATAGGCACCCTTGTCTGACTCCTGTGTTTACTCCAAACGCCTCGCTGAGTCTTCCGTTGTGGATCACTTGACATGTGCCGTTGTCGTACAGCTGTTGAATAAGTTTGATGAATATTTGGGGTACTTCATAGAACTCGAGTATTTTCCAAATTACTTCACGATCAACGCTGTCGAAGGCCTTCTCAAAGTCTATAAAGTTGAAGTAGATGATGAAGCCATAGTTTTATTGATTTTTTTCGAAATTATATACATATTACATTTCACTCTACAAACGACATTTTTCATCCGACCTTCCTGTTTATTACACTTTTTGATTTTATTATTTTAATCCTCTTTCTCAAACATTTCCTATAAATGCACGAATGTACAGCCTAGTTGATGGTCTCGCTTAACCCTACACTTAATCTGAGAATATCGTTTATTTTAAAACTGATGTGGTTTTGTTCTCTGAACTGGATGGTTAGTTCGCGAAGCTTTCATCACCCTACTGGGTGACATCTTCAGCGCATACTTCAATTTGAAGTGAGCTTTTAGATTTCTCCATGAGTTTATTAATCATCTCTCCTGGTGACCTTGGACGTGATCGGTTGTTTATGTGTGTTTTCACACCTTCTAGGTTACTTGTATTGGAACTGATTGTTTCTTTGACTTGAACTGTGTTCCTTTGTGTGTGTGAAGTTTCTTTCTTATTGGTTGATAAATTTTGTCTATCTCGATGTGTCTATTGATTGAGGATTCACTGGAATACCAGACAAGCTTCTAAAAATTCTCTAGTATTCTTGTTGTTTCCTCTGTCTAATATTTGAACGTTGTCCCAGTCGAATTGATGTCCGTAGTTGTCATTTGTTGTCCGTTGTCTATCATTTCAAAACTGAGAACAGATGCTAGTTCCTATGATGATTTAATCAATACTTTGAATTTCCCTTTGCTGGAGAAAGCATATGCAATCTTTTTTTTACTTAGGATTTCAACATAAACAAATATTTTAAAGAACTCTGTCATAATCTTCATGGAAGCAGAATCCAACTGACAGCTCTCCAGAATACACTGAGTTTATCTTCAATCTGTCAAAGCTGAAGTTGAATCTAATTGAAGTGGAGGCGATTTCATGTGTTTGATTTTACCTTCATATTCTAAAGAAATTTATTGAAAGGGTCAATGCGTCAGGTCGATGCGAAAATTTATTCTATCAACTGAATTACTTAAGTCTAGTTTGTAAGGACAAGAAGAAGACCTGGTTGCACATAGAAGCTGGTCTATGTTGCAAATCAATGCCTTACTTCACTGAATGCAAATTCTGGAATTCTTACTGAAAAAAAACTGAAACGCAGGGAAAGGTCTCGCCGGTGATATTCTTAATTGTGGTGGACTGGATTATGCGTCAGACCGTTCGGGGGGGGGGTGAAAAGCCAAGAATACCCTAGACAACCAATAAGTAGACTCTAGAAGATCTGGATGATTGCAGATGATTGATGTCTAATTTCACACAAACTCGAAGACTGGTAGGCAGGCGATAACCAACAAATAGGACAGGATGGAGGACTGCAGGTGAACACAGATAAGGTGAAGGTGATGAAGATAACGATGTCACCGTGACAGAAATTACAACCAGCACCAATCACCGTCAACGGGAGATATTTAACAAAGGTTGCTTCCTTTACATTACTTCCTTGATTTCATTTTGGCGATTAAATTTGAAACCAGTTAATTCTCTGTCAACGAACATTTTAAAAGTACTCAAATATTGTTTTTGTTTTTGTTTATTATGCAGGAGTTGAAAGCTTCTAATCTCTAAGTGACTCATTTCAAGAGAGAGAGAGAGAGAGAGCCAGCCAGCCAGAGAGACAAAGAGAGAGGGAGACATGAATGGAAAACATATTTTGGTCTTATGTTATTTATCCTGTTTTGAAAGCTGATGTTATCATCTATCGTGATGAAGGATTGTTTTTCTTATGCGTACAAATCGCCATCGTTAGCACCATCATCACAATTATCATCATCATCATCATCATCATCACGATGATGAAGACATACTTTCATTGATTTTTTCGAATTTTTACACCTATTAAACTT